AGAGATCACACGTTCAGGAAACCATGAAGAAACACAAAAATATCTTTTGCTTGGCTTTAATTACAAAAATAAAAACTCCTCTTACATTAAATCTATAAGTATGACCCATTCACCAGGGTACTGAGAGAGGTGCACGCTGCTCTTTATATAAAGGTAAAGGTACCCCTGCCCGTACGGGCCAGTCTTGACAGACTCTAGGGTTGTGCGCCCATCTCACTCTATAGGCCGGGGGCCAGCGCTGTCCGAAGACACTTCCGGGTCACGTGGCCAGTGTGACAAGCTGCATCTGGCGAGCCAGCGCAGCACACGGAACGCCGTTTACCTTCCCGCTAGTAAGCGGTCCCTATTTATCTACTTGCACCCGGGGGTGCTTTCGAACTGCTAGGTTGGCAGGCGCTGGGACCGAGCAACGGGAGCGCACCCCGCCGCGGGGATTCGAACCGCCAACCTTTCGATCGGCAAGTCCTAGGTGCTGAGGCTTTAACCCACACGGCTTAATTAACATAACTTAACAGCACCTGCTATACTGCTTCACAGCTGTAAAACTAGGTCATGATATTTACTCTGGCCTTTAAAGAGATACATATCTTGTGAAACAATAATGAACCTTAATACAGTGGTACCTCGGGTTAAGTACTTAATTCATTCCGGAGGTCCGTTCTTAACCTGAAACTGTTCTTAACCTGAAGCACCACTTTAGCTAATGGGGCCTCCCGTTGCTGCCGCGCTGCCGGAGCACAATTTCTGTTCTCATCCTGAAGCAAAGTTCTTAACCCGAGGTACTATTTCTGGGTTAGCGGAGTCTGTAACCTGAAGCATATGTAACCTGAAGTGTATGTAACCCGAGGTACCACTGTATTTAAATAAACCATTCAACACATAGGAGAAGCCAACTCCTAGGGGCTGTGGGGGCTTTGGCCCCCACAATAAAATATTTGCAGGGGTCAGACCCCTGCCAAGTTGATGGGCATTGCCATTCAAATGGTGTGCGCGCACTGTGTCATGTGATCAATGATGTGGGGCGGGGCTTACCTGGGCCCCTGCAATATTTCATTCAAGTTGGCACCCCTGGTCAAGCACATCTGGTATTCCAGCTTCTGGAAGAAGGAGACAAAGAAGACGGGGTGGGCAGCATCTAGGGATGTTGGGGGAATCACTTGAAAAGTAATTATCTTTGAAGTGGTGCACCCAGGGAAGGAAATTGATTTGTAAATATCCGTTGATGGCTACGATATGCATGTTTATCAGGTGCAGCAATATACATTAAAATTACATGTATTTTTCATCAGCAGACAATGAAAAGGAAAGGAAGATTTGTACAAAAGACACCAATAATAGTGGAATGGAAAATGCTGGGTGAGAGTGCAAATGAATATTGGAACAGACTGTGACACAGTCATACATCTCAATGGGATGAGTTGCAAACCCAAGGATCCAAGCCTAGATCAGCAGTTATAAGAAGTTATAAAGGGCCTTATAATAAGCATCCCTTAAGAAGTGAGATGTCATGAACCAGATGCTCCAAAGTTCAATTTTCTATATACAGTAAGTCATTTTAAAAGCTGCTCTATGACTGTTTGGGGTATTCAGCCAGAACTTTTTTTGGGGTGCACTAAAAATATTCAAAATATCTAAGACTGTGCATATCATCTCAATTTCAGATGTACATCATTCCCAGAATAATGGACTACCTGCCTGTAAAACAAAAAATTATAGCTGATTGTGAAAAACTGTGTGCCTTCACCCATGAGACAATGGAGTTCCCCACATAGACAATGGATGCCCCAAACCCCCATGACTATATTGACTGCTTCCTTTTCAGATCTGAGAAGGTAGGTAGAGTCAAAGCTTTAGTGGCACATTTGAAGATGTTTAAGGAATATATCCAAATTGGACCTAAATATGAAAGCTACATTTGAAACCATACCACCATGTCTCAACACAAATTCCTCTTCTGGGTGTATCATTGACTGCTGAAGGCCATTGTGATGATTGCTAGACCACTGTCAATGTTGATTGTTAAATGTATCCCTGAGACAGGAATACGTTGGTAAAGATATGTGTTACAGTTGCTCTGTATTTGACTCTGCACACGCTTTAAAGTTTTAAAATGCATAAGTTTTATATTTCATGTGCATTCTAATAAATAGACAGAGATATAAAATGGTAACGATTTTGATGCACCTTGGAAAACTATTAATATTGTTAGGACCATACCCACCATCATCATCACCATCACCATCATCATCATCATATTTATACCCCATCTATCTGACTGGGTTGCTGACTGGCTTCCAACATATAAAAATAATAATAAAGCTATACAGGGCTACTTTCAGATGTCTTCTAAAGACTGTAAAATTACACCTCCTTCACTCGGGGGGGGGGGGTCTCATAACTCCATACTCTCCAAAATTTCTCTGATGAAAATAGGGACGTCCTAAGGATTGTTCCTGGAAAATAGGGAAACGTGGAGGGTCTGTAAGGACTGCCTATCTTGAAATATTTTCTTGTCATCCCTAAACTTTTTAGACTTGTGTTTTTGTCTCTGGGTCATGTTGTCATACCACATGGCTGTTCCAATTCATTTTGTAAAAGTAAAATACTTTCTTTCTTTACTTCCTGCCTTTGATTTAAAATTAACTTTTAATGCTGTTGCCCACTCTCAAAAGGAATATATCTATTCTCTTGCTTGATTACTCTTACACAATTGGGTTGCCACAGGGCCTTGTGCTTAGCTACCAAGAATGTGAGAGATAATTATATAGAAGTTGCCCAGGTAAGCAGGTTCACTTGCTTGGGGTCAGGGGTTGTTCTTCCCTACTTCCCCTCTCTGCCACTTTGTTACATAAGGCAGGAAGCATCTTCTGGCTTTCTTGCTCAAGAATATGCTTCTTCTCTCCCCTACCTCCATTCGCCAAAATATTGCAGGAAAAGATGTGCCTAAGGAAGTTTGAATTACCTGAAAGGTTTTCTCACCGCAGGCATGGAAGCACTGACAGAGCACATTTCTACCTGTTACTTAATGCTATAGATGCCAGTAAATACCTTTGAGGGGAAGAACCCTTGAAGGAGAGGAAAGTTGAACTTTCTCCTGCTTCCTCTGGCTTGGATTAAATTTCACCTTCATTTAAATTTCACAGCAAGAGAAATGTTCTTCCCCTGTCCATTAACTTTCTCTCACACACAACCCCCCAAAAGCATTAGACATGCCATTGCATGAACCAGGGGCATGGAACTGGTGACCCTCCAAGTATTATTGGATTCCACCCTTATCCCCCAGCCAGCAGGGACAATGATATAGGATGATGGGAGTTGAAGTCCAGCTGCATCTGGAGGACCATGGGTTCTTCACCCAATATAAATGAATATCTTCACATGTATAGTTTAATCTGACACTTATGTAGTCTTTCACACTTGGTTATGGAAATGGACCATGTACGTGAGTGGTCGATGGGCTTATTGTTTCTGTGTCTGTTGCTTTTATGCTTCTAGTTTTAATTCATGTCCATCAGTCTGTTATTCATGGATGATTTTGTTCTATGCCAGAGTGGTCCAACTTTTCATTCCAAACGGGTGGCAAGAGTGTTTTGACATAGAACCTGTGGGCCACTCACTGCCTTGATGCACAGAAGGGGTGAGTGAACCCAAAATTTGACAACCCCCCCACCAGCCCTCATGCTGCCTAAGCATGGCACTAGGCGTGAGGCTCTGGCAGCATTCTAGAGCCCTCCCACTTCCTTTTCAAAGTTGGAAAAGCACTAACTAGGCTTTGTGATGGAGACAGGAGGACTCTGGGACCCTGTCAGAGCCGGCCTTCATGCCTCCTTCCTAAAGCCCAGGGCCTTGCTTACCTGACTTTGGGAAGGAATTTGAGTGCTGGGGGGCCATCAGATGTTGCCAAGGGCCACCAAAAAGGACCTTGAGGGCTACATGTGACCCTTGGACCACCCTGTTTTGCTAAGTTTATTTACCGTATTTTTCGCCCCATAGGACGCACCGGCCCATAGGACACATCAAATTTCTTGGGGGGGGGGAAATAAAGAAAAAAAAATTTATTCCCCCCCCCGAGGCACTTGTGGGGCAGGCAGCGGGGAGAAGCGCTCTTCTCCCCGCCGCCCGCCTTGAGATCAGGTCCGGGGACAGCGGGGAGACGTGCTGCGCCTCCCAGCTGTCCCCGGAGCTTGCGGGGCAGGCAGCGGGGAGAAGCGCTCTTCTCCCTGCCGCCCGCCTTCAGATCAGGTCTGGGGACAGCGGGAAGACGTGCTGCGCCTCCCCACTGTCCCCGGAGCTTGCGGGGCTGGCGGCGGGGTCTCCCCGCCGTCAGCCTCCAAACCACTTCGGGAGACAGCAGGATGGCGGCGTTCCGCCTCCCTCTGTCCCCCGACCTTGTGGGGCTGGCGCTGGGGCTCTCCTGAAGCCTGGAGAGCGAGAGGGGTCGGTGTGCACCGACCCCTCTCGCTCTCCAGGCTTCAGCGAAAGCCTGCATTCACCCCATAGGACACACACACATTTCCCCTTCATTTTTGGAGGGGGGAAAGTGCGTCCTATAGGGCGAAAAATACGGTACATGTTTTGTTGAGATAACATAAATATTTTAAGGCTCAATAAGATTACTCAGGAGTTTTTCCACAAAGAAAGCTTAGCCCTAATTCTTAATTGATATGAAAATGTTCTAGAGGCAGCCATGACAATAAGTATTTCTCAGATATATTAACTTACTACAAAAATATTCTGTTTCCTTCATCCATATCTTATGCCCAAGCTGGAAAATGCATCGGGTAAGAAACTTGTTTACTGGTGGTGAGGGCAGGGGAACGTGACTGAAAATGAAGTATGAACGCACCAAATATCAATATCAGATATTGATTGCACATTGGTTATTTGTACCATGCAGTATAAATTAATGCTTCTTTTCACAAGGGTTATTGCTTCACTATCTGTGTTGTAACACAGTTTCCGGACAGTGTATTACAACATAGATGGAAAGTCCTTATATTTCCTTTCAGGGTGGGTGCGTGGCTCACTTGATTTCAGTCAAAACTTGGTGGCATATTCAGAATTTATTTGCTGTGAAGTAGAGCAATTACTTCTAGATGCTGGTTGAAATCAGGAGATGCCAGCTCAGATCTGACTAGGAATCTACTCACCGAGGGGTCTGGCCTACCATCCTTACCAGCATTAGGATGGCCATTGATGGATAAAAAGGTGAGGTTGTCCGTGATGGGAAGATGGTGGTGTTTGAACATGGATATTATGGTTTAATAATATCATTTCATGGCTGCGTTAAAGAAAATGTACATTGTTGTCAGTAACATGTAATTCTGTACCCAACCTTGATGTTGAAGACATAGAAATTAACCTATTTTCAGCCCAGGTCTAGAGCTTATGTTGATGATTAACCCATCTTTCCTAGTGGAACACATACTGGAAATAAAAGAACTAAGATTATCTGGAGAAGGTTGGAGTTGGAGTTGGGGTTTCGCTGGGGCTCTAATAAGCAGCTGTGTTTTCACCTTGTCTTTCTTTAGTAGTTTCCTGGATATATTTGACCAAAAGAAGAGCCTTAGAGGAAGATGGAAGTGGCTGTAACAGGAGCTCTGTTCCTTCTTTGGGTTCTCTTCATCTTCATTTTCTATTCCTTAAAAATGTACAAGGAGAAAAGCCAGCTACCTCCAGGCCCCACTCCCTGGTTCTTCCTGGGGAACCTGCTGCAGAAAGATGTCATGCCTCTGAACAAAAACTATTCAAAGGTAAAGCCGTTTCTTGTTGCGGTTTCTCTCTGTTCCCTTGTCCCTGTGGCACAGCATAAACAACCATTGTCTGGAATGAAGCAATGTGTAGAGGAGGGACAGAAGGTTAATTGTTCCCTGTCTTGCTTATATACTTTTCCATTCTTCCTTATAATAAAGGCATGCTTTGAAGGGGCCCAGATTTCTGCTTCCTTTCTCTTTCCTAATTTTTATTTGTATTGTTTATTACTTGATTTTACTAGGTTTTGTTTACTGTTGGCATGTGTCTATTTTGCATGCTCTTTAGAGCTTCCCTGAATCAACTTAAGATCCCTCCAGACAATTGGTTTATTCAGCATTCATTCTGATTTGCTTCCACAAAGCTTAAACAGAAGTTACCATAAAAAATAATGTCAAAAATTTGGGGGCGTCTTATACATGTATACATCTTCCCCCATTTCCTCAAATGGGAGTCCTCCAAAATTGGGGGGCGTCTTATACATGGGGGGGGGCATCTATATATATATATATATATAACATTTGTTTTGATTTGCTTACAGGCCAGTTCTATGATAATGAGCATTCATTCATTCATTCTTCATTCATTCTGGTTAGCTTGCAGGTTGCTTATAGTCATTTATTCACCACATGCTTTTCAATACATTTCCCCATTACTTTCCAACAAGCATTTTTTAAGTCCATTTTTTAAAAAAATTGATTTGTTGCACTAGGATTATGTTAACTGCATAGACCCAAGATTTTATCTTGCAATAATAATGACAGTTTGGAGGCACCTAACTGAAGAGAGCATTAAATGAAATAGCAATATTCATTTAGAAAAAGCACAGCAGCAGCAGCAGTAATATACATTAGATTTGTACTTCATTTCATTTTATTTATTTATTAAATTTCTATACTGCTCATCATCTGAGGATCACAGGGTGGTTTCCAACATGGAATTTTGAAACCATTAAGTTGCAAGCTAGCTGTAATCGGCTGTATGTTTAAACACACCCAGTCAAAGGGTAGTGTAGGCACATTGCCAAGCCCTGTCCCTTCCACTGCATGATACCTATAACATGTGAAAAGCTCTCCACTACTCATGGAGACTCTTACAGAATTTAAAACCCTGATTGTGGTTGGCAGGTCACATGGGAGTAAATAATTGTACTGTAATCCATAACAGTATTGTACTGTAATCCACATAATTGTTAGAAGATCACTTAGGGCAGTTGTAACCAAATGTGAGGGACGCAGGTGGCGCTGTGGTCTAAACCACTGAGCCTAGGGTTTGCCGATCGGAAGGTAGGTGGTTTGAATCCCCACAACGGGGTGGGCTCCTATTGTTCGGTCCCAGCTCCTGCCCACCTAGCAGTTCGAAAGCACACCAGTGCAAGTAGATAAATAAGTACCGCTCCAGTGAGAAGGTAAACGGCGTTTCGGTGTGCTGCTCTGGTTCGCCAGAAGTGGCTTAGTCATGCTGGCCACATGACCCGGAAGCTGTCTGTGGACCAACGACCACTCCCTCAGCGTATAGAGCGAGATGAGCACCGCAACCCCAGAGTCGTCCGCTACTGCACCTAATGGTCAGGGGTACCTTTACCTTTAACCAAATGTGATAAATAACAAGCTGAAGCCGAACCAGGAAGTATGTCAAGAAGCATGGCCCCGTGTTCATTGATTGGCCTGGGCATAATTATATGGTTATGCTTTAGAGATATGAAGCAGTGGTTGATCATACTGAAATGTATGATGTGATACCTGTTGCAGTGTCATACCTGTTAAAGGGGCAGCTAAATTTCTTTTCTTCACGTGCCTATCTTGCAAAGTGAATCAAATACCTGATGAAGTTGGTGGGGCTGAACATAAGATTTATTTCACAAGATTCTCTTTCTTTTATGGAGGCAGTTCAAAATGTGGTTTCGCCTTATTTAGGAACAGCCTTCTAGCAGCCCATTCTCTAAGGAGCCATCCAGGTGTCCTTTTTATTACACATTCATGCTTATTTGTACTCATGATAACATTGGAGTCATCATACACAATCCGATTTCCAGTACTGTTTGTACTTGCAAAAGTTCTGAAGTGGACACAATGTTTTGTTCCATTCAGTGCACATCCCATAGCTTCCTGTTCAAATCCTTTTTTTTTTTAAAAAGATTTTTATTAAAGTTTTCAAAGTTTATATAACAACAAAACAAAACAAAAGAACAAACAAAAACAAGTATAATTTCAATCCCTTATTTTCTTATAACTTACTTCCCCGACTTCCTCATACCTCCCCTTTCTGTATTCTAATTTCCAATTGTTAATTCAGCAAATCCTCTCCCTTATTTTCCATTTAAATTTTTAACCTTTCATTTCTATACTTAACCATTACCGCTGAAAACCACATATTTTCTAATCCAGCGTCATTCTAGCATTCATTAATTTTACAATGTTTCTTAAGATAGTCCTTAAATTTCTTCCAATCTTCTTCCGCTGTCTCTCTTCCCTGGTCTCGGATTCTGCCGGTCATTTCTGCCAGTCCCATATAGTCTATCACCTTCATCTGCCATTCTTCCAAGGTGGGTAGTTCTTGCAACTTCCAATACTTTGCGATGAGTATTCTTGCTGCTGTTGTGGCATACATAAAAAAAATTCTGTCCTTCTTTGGCACCAATTGGCCGACCATACCCAAGAGAAAGGCCTCTGGTTTCTTCAGAAAGGTATATTTAAATACCTTTTTCAGTTCATTATATATCATTTCCCAGAAAGCTTTAATCTTTGGGCATGTCCACCAAAGGTGAAAGAATGTACCTTCAGCCTCTTTACATTTCCAACATTTATTATCAGGCAAATGATAGATCTTTGCTAGCTTGACTGGGGTCATGTACCACCTATAAATCATTTTCATAATATTTTCCTTTAAGGCATTACATGCCGTAAATTTCAAACCGGTGGTCCACAACTGTTCCCAGTCAGCAAACATAATATTATGGCCAATATCTTGTGCCCACTTAATCATGGCTGATTTCACCGTTTCATCCTGCGTATTCCATTTCAACAGCAAGTTATACATTTTTGACAAATTCTTAGTATTGGGTTCTAACAGTTCTGTTTCCAATTTTGATTTTTCCACCTGAAAGCCAATTTTTCTGTCCAGTTTATACATTTCCATTATTTGATAATAATGAAGCCAGTCTTGGACTTTATCCTTTAATTTCTCTAAACTCTGCAATTTTAGTTTATCCCCTTCTTGTTCCAAAATTTCCCAATATTTCGGCCATTTGGCCTCCATATTGGGCCTTTTCAAAGCTTTAGCTTCCATTGGTGACAACCACCTTGGGGTTTTATTTTCCAATAGATCCTTATATCTAATCCACACATTAAACAATGCTCTCCTGACAATATGGTTTTTAAATGCTTTATGTGCTTTAACCTTGTCATGCTTCCTGTTCAAATCCTATAGCTTGTTATAGCCCAAATGTTCAGGTGCATGTTGCTTTTGTTGCACCACAGTATATACAATGTATGGATGTAAATTTTATGAAATAAACAAATGTACCTGTCAGGGTCTGGACTGAGGAGGAATGGTAGGAGCCACCACCCCGAACCTTCCCGAGAACAGGAGGACAGTATAGATTTAGAACAGTGGTCTGCAGAAGGACATAGTTCAGAGACTGCAGAGGGGAAATGCTGGGGAATATTGGGAGAGGAATAGCAGGAAGAAGAAACACCGGGGGAGAGACAGCCAACAGACTCAGAATCTTTGGAAAGCATTCCTGAGCCCCTCTCTCCCAGGACTAGGCATGCATTGAGAATACTAGAACAAAAAGCTCAGAGACAGAAAGCCCATATCAGCTGGCGCAGGGAGGATGTAGGATAAGAAAGATGGTGGTTGGAATTTACTTGGAGTAATGACATTATTTAATAGGGACTACATTCCTTTCTCTCTCTGTGTGAATACTGAATAAATTACATGGTAAGGCCTCTTCTTGTTTATCTGCTTTTTTGGCTGCCACTGGGGGGAGGGATAGGATTCCCTGAATCTTGACAGTATCCCTCCAGATGGCAATAATGTAATAACACTGAGGAAGTATTGGGGAACAACTAATAAAGCTGAATTCTGCCACTAATGTGCAGTTACTGCATCAGCAACATGTTGCAGCATATGCCTGCAAAACCCCGCACAAAACAAGTTGCAGGTGCCCTAAGAGATATTACAACCATTCCTTAAGATAATTACTCCAAAAGAAGTTTCATTGCCTAATTAAATAACACTTTCTTTGTGCCTTCAGCTGGTTGAGAAATACGGCCCTATGTTCACAATCTGGATGGGACCCAAACCTATGGTCGTGCTTTGTGGATTTGATGTGGTAAAAGACGCTCTGGTGGATCATGCTGAAGCGTTTGGTGGGCGTATTAACAGCCCCATCATTGATCGAGTGACCAAAGGCCACGGTAGGCTATTTCTTCTTACTTTTTATGTATAGTTTAGCTCTACTTTCATTTGTAATGCAGTCCCCCAAAATGTGCATGATAATTAGCATCATGTCTAGGAAAGAAAGAAAAGAAAGAAAGACAAACACTATCAATCAAGGCATTATATTTTTCTGTGGCTTGCTTCTCCAAAGAACCATTTTTGAAAATCAATTCCCCCCAAAGAAGCTGCTTTTTTTGATCCAGGGAAGCTGTCCCTTACGCAATCACTTAAGAAAATAAATAAACATCAACCATTTATTGAGTCTGCAAACTGAAAATAGCAACAGTATACGTTGCTACCTCTCTCCAGTGCCAATAAAATGTCATTCTGAACATGGGTGACCTGATTTCACCTTCCCACCCCAACTGCAGCTAACAGTGTGGGCTACAGGCAGGCAAGGGGGTGATGCCATGTCTCTTACCATCCGTTATTTACTTTGTTATGTGGCACTGGACATACCTATTTATGCAACCAAAGAAACAAAAATCCCTTACACAACAAGGGACTGGGCTCTTGGGGGCAACAATTAGTTGCCAGATTGTAACTACAAATGGGGATATAATTTTAAGGTGGAAAGCACCAGAACTACCTTTTCATTTAGAAACTTCCTGCTGGTTCCTGTTGGGTCAAGAACTGACAGAATGACCTTCACCTCTTTTTCCCCCCAGGGATAGTTAACTCTAGTGACATAGAATGGAGAGAGCTGCGCAGATTCACGGTTATGACACTGAGAGACTTTGGAATGGGGAAGAGATCCATGTCTGAGAGGGTGCAGGAGGAGGCTGTGTGTCTGGTGGAGGCATTGGCAGCCACAAAAGGTAATCTAGCTCATTAAAAAATAAAACTGATAAAGCACTATCCCAGGGCAAGGAGAGGATATTTATTAAATTGAATATAGGAATGGGCACTTATAGTATGTTAGCTTTTGACATTGTTAGAATATGTGGCTGTTAGGCTCAGTGGCAGCAGAGAGGCAAGCTTTTCCCATTTGTCCTTTCAACTCTCTCCACGCTCATGTGAACACCAACTCATGTGTTGTACTTCCACCGTAATATTTTCCACTAATCCAGTAATGCCTATGAGAGAGAATCTACCTACACTTCTTAGGGGTGCACACTGTGTGCAAATTGTTTCAGTGAAAGTTGTTGGGCTTATTTTTATTTAGTGTCAACATGGCCTTGTGGGCCACCTGAAACTCTGTTGCAGGCAATGCTAGCATAATCAGCATCAGATAAGTTAATTAAGTGGAATGTTACAGCAAAGAAATGAAGGGGGGGTTGATTATTTGGACTGTGGATGGGGTAGGTGGCGGAGGTGGGGAGAGAAGGAAACCCAGTGCCTCTTTTTTCTGCCTCTCACCTCCCAAAAATTATGTTTAATTGCAGTTTTAAAATAAAAATTAACACAGCCCCCCCTAATTGATTTAGGACTGGATACAATTTGAGTGTTGCCCAGGTTGCCCTGAATATTGTGTCGGAGCCAATTTGTGGACCCAGATACGGCCTCACATCAAGTCGGTGTCAGGGGTACAGCTGCGCACGTTACTACTACTTTTAATTTCTTAAACATTTGGTTCTTGGCACTGATGGAAATGCAATCTACCAGGCTCAAGCTGTTTAAACAGTTTTTAGACTTAATTTTGTATTGGGGTTTGAAGATGGTGGGCTCCACTTTCATCAGGCCTTGCTAACTGTCTTCGGTTCCTCCTACAGGACAGGGCTTTGATCCGACAACTAGAATCACATCCGCTGTTTCCAATGTGATCTCATCAGTCATCTTTGGGACTCGCTTTGACTACGCAGACAAGACCTTCCTAAAGCACCAACGCATTATAGAAAATGAAGTTGGCCTTTTTCGTACTATCTTGGGACTGGTAGGTTGTTCCTTCTGAGTTGCAAACATTTTCCTCACTATCAGGAAAAGGAAAAACAAAAACTAGCTTGTTGGAGTATGAATGATGGCACGAAGGGATCAGAACTGTGTGCCTGCCTAACTATCAGATGAAAATAATGTTCTGAAAATGTCTTCCACAGGGTTGAGATGGAAATTAACACAACCACAAAGTTCCAATGATTTCAGGGGAGAAACTGGACCCTTGAGCAGGGCAGGCAGCAGAAAAGTTGGAAGACTTAACTGGGCTGTTCACCAATAGCAGCAGATCTCCCTTTCCTTTCCTGACCCCACCCCTTTTACTTTCCCATTGCTCCCCCCCCCCATTCGCCTGGCCACCATTTCCCTCTGGATGCAGTATAGCTGTAAACATTGCAAGGGCACATTTCTACATCTATAGAGGCATAGGATGCCCTCTGCCACTCTTAGCACCTGAGGAAGTCTGCAGGAAAGGAAAAAATAATTTTTTTCAGGTAGTTGGAGCCTGAGTCATTTAGGGCTTTAAAAACTAATATTAACGCATTGAATTGGGCCAAGAAACAAATTGGCAACGTGTGCAGCTTTTTAAAAACAGAGGTTATGTGAAACTTAAACAGAACCCGAACCAGTAATCTGGATTTTGGACCAGTTGACATTTCTGAGTCATCTTCAAGGGAAGCCCCATCATCCCTAGCCTTTAGGAATGAGGTAAAATGAACCAGAAGCTCAGCAGTTCCTGCTGGATTTCCAAAATAAGTAATTAAAAACAACAAATGCTTTATCACTTTTCAGCCAGAATCTTTGTGGCATACTATAAAAAGATGGATTCGCAATATTTAAGGCTGGATGTGTCATCTTCATTTCAGCTGTACTCTGCTGTCCCTAAAATATTAGACTGCTTTCCTGGAAGGCACCAAAAGATTTTTTCTGATTGTGATGAGTTGTGTGCTTTCTTCCGTGAGAATGTGAAAGTACACATGCAGACGCTGGATCCTCAGAACATCCGTGACTATATTGATTGTTTCCTTATCAAGTCTGAGAAGGTATGTGGGTCAAAAAATTTGTTTGCACTGGCATGGGTGCCCAGTTATGTCCTAGTCCATGTGGGGAAGGGATACCAGGCCAACCAGAGTGCCCCTCTGCCTTTGCCTCCTCCCCATGCAACTTCTCTCGGCCACTCCTTGCAAGGCATTGTGAATTATTATCATTATTCATTAGGCTGAGGTATCCTGTGCCCAGTTTTAAAGTCTATGCTTAATGTTGTACAAAACAATGCAAGTGCTTACGATAAAAATAAAATTGGTTCACTCAGTTTACAGCCTATATGAGTACCATGGACAGCTACTTTGCCCAAACAAAAATGCATAACCAGTTATTCTTTTTTTTACTGCCATCACTCCTATAATTTCTGATCCCATATATTTTCAGATATACAGTGGTACCTTGGGTTACAGGCGCTTAAAGTTACAGATGCTTCAGGTTACAAACTAAAAATAGTACCGCGGGTTAAGAACTTTGCTTCAGGATGAGAGCAGTAATCGCGTGGTGGCAGCGCAGCAGCAGCGGGAGGCCCCATTAGCTAAAGTGGTGCTTCAGGTTAAGAACAGTTTCAGGTTAAGAACGGACCTCCAGAACGAATTAAGTTCTTAACCAGAGGTACCACTGTATATAATCTTGGTTAGCTCTAACATTCCAGTAATCAAACAACACAACGTTTGTAATGCAATGATATGCAAGTGCTTTTCTTTATATTTCAAAAGTAATTCTATTTTAAATACATGTGATTGGATTAAACACCTCTTGGGGTGAGTGCAGGATTTCACCCATGATGCTCATTCGAACAGGCTAAGCTGTCTCCATTTTGCCATCTTTCTTTATAGTGAATTTTCTCTCTCCCCCCCCTTTCCCTCTGCCTCATAGGAACAAAGGTCTGCTAGTGACACCTTCAGAACCGAAAACCTTGTCATGACAGTGTTTGGACTTTTTTTGGCTGGGACAGGAACCACAAGCTTTGCCTTGATCTCTGGCCTCATGGTGATGGCTAAGCTGCCACATATTCAAGGTATTCAGATACCCCAGAGAAGTTTAAAGTGGAAGGGTTTTGAGGGCTCCCTGGTGTCTTCAAATGGCATTTATGTCCAGGGGTAGGAACATTGCCAGAAGAGATGGGGCCTCAGAATTCTGGAAGCACATTTTCCAAATGATATTTGTTACAGGAGAAGTCCAGCAGGAGATCAACAAGATGGTAAGGCACAGAGGAATGAGTGGAAATCACTCAAGAGGAGAATTTGTGTTTGCATGAGTTTTCATGATGTCAGAGAGTGCCCAAGTTTTTCACTCTGTCAGATGAGAAGCAGAATCTGAATCCAGGAAATACATCTCTTGAGTCTTTTTCATTACAGCAAAAGTCCAACAGGAAATTGATGAGGTGATGAGTGCCACCCGTGCCCCTAGCATGGAAGATCGTGTGAGGATGCCTTTCACCAATGCAGTTATCCATGAGATTCTACGATACCCACCATCAATTAATGAGACCATTCCCCGTACAACGTCTTGTGATACAAAATTCAGGGGGTTCACCTTCCCTAAGGTATGATGGCCCAGCATTTTGCCATGATAATTGTGGAGAAGAAATGGTGCAGTTCTAGGAACTGATCGTATAAATGGCCCTGGACTGCCCTCATGGAGGCAGGGATGAGATCAGTAGTGATTTTGTTGGCCTAAGCAAATGAGCTGAAGGAACTAGTGATAGAGGAGAATATTGTTTGTTCAGTTCACATTTTAAAATGAACCAACGGAATTAGTCTTTCACAGAGCTATGCATACAAAATGCATCTTTTATGGGGAAAATGTGTACTAAAATCAATGGTTTAGTGGGAAAATGCACACAGAAGCACAGAAGAAAGCACACAAAAATATATTTTAGATTGAGAATGGGTACATAAATGTGTATTTTAGGGGAAAGTGCATACAAAAAGATGTAGAATATAAATGCTAGTGTTTGGTGAGGTTTTAAAACAGAAATTGTCTGATGGGATGGAGCAGAATTATGACTGAATGCTGGTGGAACTGTCACAGAACAGAACTATAATGATCCATCTGCCCCCGAAAGAAGCTGATAGATGCAGCAAGCTATTTATGCTCCAGTTTCATAATTTCTTAAAAAGGAATTCTACTGGTCATATTGATTGGAATGGAATGGAATGTAAGGCAGTGTGTACTTGAGGACTAATACAGGAGTGGAACAGAATAAATCCGCTCATCCCTAGTGGAATCCCATTCTTCTAAGTTAGCATCCCCATTTTATCATTTTATCATAGTATGGCTATTTCCTAGATAGTCATGAATTGAGACCAAAAATGTAAACCTGCCATTTTCTATCCCTGAAGGGCACAGCTGTTGCTCCAATGTTCACAACTGTGCACCGTGACCCTCTCCAGTGGGAGACTCCAGAACAGTTCAATCCTGGACATTTCTTGGATGAGAAAGGCCAGTTCAAGAAGAAAGATGCCTTAATAGCCTTTTCGGCAGGTAACTATATGAGCCTGTGGTAACTTATGTGCAAACAATGCCATTTCCATTTTCTTTCAAGAGACAGTGTAAGGAAAGAGATATGGCTGCGCTGTGGTCTAAACCACTGAGCCTCTTGTGGTTCCCAATCAGAAGTCGGCGGTTTGAATCCCCGCGGCGGGGTGAGCTCCCATTGCTCGGTCCCAGCTCCTGCCAACTTAGTAGTTCGAAAGCACACCAGTGCAAGTAGATAGATAGGTACCGCTGTGGCGGGAAGGTAAATGGCATTTCTGTGCACTGCTCTGGTTTCGCCAGAAGTGGCTTAGTCATGCTGGCCACATGACCCAGGAAAACTGTATGCAGGCATATGCCAGCTCCCTCGGCCTGTAAAGTAAGATGAGCGCTACAACCCTAGAGTTGTCCGTGACTGGATTTAACTGTCGGGTCCTTTGCCTTTACCTTTACAAAGGACCAGCCTTTTATTCTTCTGTACAATATCTCTGGAAAGGAAGTGAAACAACATCATTTCCATTGATGCTGGGATTGTTTTGAACTGTCAACAGACCCCATGTTTTGTAATTTCCCTGAAGGATTACATGGGACCCTGTTGTAAGCTGATGGCATTTACCACTTTTTAAAAGGAGGCAGTACCCTCTGTCCAGCTTCTAATAGGCTTCTTCTCACAAAGCACTGTGATTTGAAGTAAAATGAGAGACCTATAAAGTCATTCCCTGGTTGGACATGCCAGTCTTGTAATTATATTTCCCTCCCTGGTATTTTCTGTGAGTAGGGGATGGCACAAAAACATATGATATTGTTTGAAAAAAATTAGAAAAAAAATTAAAGTACATCTGGGTCAGGAGTCACTGTGCGTGCAGTGTGGGGCTAGAAAAGGATAAATAAACTGGAATCTTTGGAAAACATGAAGTTAAATCCCTCCCATTCTGTGGTTGGAGAACTGCATCAGAAAATCTGTAGAAGTGAAAATTTTGAAATTGGTTGTGTTTCTGTTCTCATATGGTTTCAGAAAGGGTGCATTTGATAGACTGAACTTTAAATGTGAACTGAATCTCATGTTTCCCCATCTCTATGTCAGGCCAATCATAATATTATTAGTCTTAGTCTTACTCTTAGTTTTAGTCTTGATTTTAGTATTCCTCACCTTTTCCCATAATGTGACTCAATATATTATACTCTAGCTGCAGTGCATTTTTGGGGCTGCATTAGTATTCCCAGTCCCCAAACCAACATTGCATGAATTCACTAGGGGTGGATCTGCACACAGGAAATATAAAGCTATAAATAAGTCAGAAATTAAATTGTTATATGATTTAATTGCATAGAAAAGGATTTTTGCTCTCCACCACCATCTGGTGTTGCATGTTTATAACACATTCAAAACCTTATTTTTTTGACTAATGGAGCTGAGTCCTAGGTTTCCTGCGCACTGTGTAGATTTTTGGGTTACTGGTTAGCTGTGCCTTCTTTTTCTTTGCCAGGGAAGCGGGCATGCGTTGGGGAAGCCTTGGCGCGAATGGAGCTCTTCCTGTTCTTCAGTACTCTGCTCCAGAACTTCACCTTCCAGCTGGTTGGAGCTGCAAAAGATATGGATTTAGCCTCTTTGTTTACGGAGTTCAGAGCTAAAAATGTCTCTCCTCTAATGAAAGCCATCAGACGTTCAATGTGATCTTGTGACAAAAGATCACTCATTCAACACCTCTCAGTTTCACATAAGGGTAATAGCCCTAGATATCAGGTATTAAAAGTTTTCTTAGCATGGCAAACGAGAAGAGCCTTTGACCTTTCAATCCCTAATGTCCAGTCAACTGTTCATGGGCTCATTAGCACTTAATAAAATGTTCCACATCATCAACTATTGCATTGTGTGTATGTGTTTTTTAACCCCGCCCCCCTCATATACTGTTATAAACATTTGCTCTCTTCTGCAGATTATATTGAGGGGTTTTTTTGTTCTCTCAAGTATACATGGTTTCTTGATTTCAGTTTAACTACAAGTAGGGCTGGGCAATATCTGGTTTTCAACATCGCAAAATATCCCCAGGTAAATATTGCAATATACCGATATATCACAATGTCTGAAATAAGGATGGAGCTATGTAGAGGCATTGGCTGGCTTCATGGTTTCCCCCCCCATTGTGATTTTGCATGGCACACGTGCGCACACACATCATGATTCACAATATATTGCCAGGTCAAAAATTATGAAACCGACAGCACAATATAGATTTTAAACTGGTTTTGGATGCTATATTAATATATCGCCCAACTACTAATAGGGATGAAAGTGGATTTCATTTTCATTTTCTCTTTTTTTAATGATCATGCCCGGATTGGAACACAAGCATTCAAATCAGATTGCATGTCTATAGACCTTTCTGAGGATGATTATTTTTATTCACCCCACCCCCACCCCTTCATTTTAACAAGGCAGTCTGTGGGCTTTCTGTCAATTTCCCCCTTTCTTCTTAAAAACTATTTCCAGCCACTTGAAGCAGCTGGAAAGCACCGTGTTTGCTGTGTTCATTGAAATGTTTTAAGTAAAAAAGCCCCTGGAAGTGGCAATGCATTGCTGCTGGCCACATTTTCCTGACTAATTCTATGTATACCACAAAAAGAGCCTAAGTCCCAAGCACTCACTGTCCAAATTGTGCTCACTGTGTGAGGGGGAAGCTTGCCTTGCCAGCTCAAAGCCCCTTGCAGAGATGTCACTGTGACATAATATTAAACTGCAAAGAACTCATGATGATAAGGATCAGTAGGCTGAGTCACCTCTGCAAAGCAAGTCAAAAGGTGGCGATTTTGCTGCCAAAACTAGTAAAGTGAGCACAGCGCCATGCTTTTGAAGGTGAAGGGGCAGTAGGTGAAGGGGCAGTGTTGGTCCAGAAGAATTGTAGGTTTTTCTTTCCATTTGTCAGAAGTGTTGGTCAGATTGCAAAAGTCACAGATCCTTTAGAAGCCAGAATCCCACCTCTCTGAGGGCGAAACTAGATGATGTGCCAATTGCAGAAATGCAATCAGATTCCTGATCTTATCCTCCAGATAACCCTGGAGAAGCCTAAACAGCCTCTGAAAAAGGTAGATGACAAACGTTGTAGATACTTCCAAAACCAGAAATTCCACCTTTCTGAACTTGCATCTATTTTGTGTTTTGTCAGAAGCAAATGTAGAGGTTATGATTAAAATGTCCTAAATTGAAGGTGAGAACTCTCTTGTGCTTTTCATAGTAGGGTAGTAGAGGGAAATTCAGCAGGTGAAGGTTTTCTCACTTGTGTCAAACTGGATTCTTCTTCTGCACAAGAATTCTGGCGCTGCCTTATGTTGCATCTGGTCATGGTACTGTCAGAGTGATGGGTCAGATTACCCAGTAATTTCTTGTGGTGTTCCAGGAAGCAGAAAGATTACCCTAGAATGGATTACCCCACTGTACCGTCTTTCTAGCTTACAATACTCAAGGCAGTATACAAGCTGAAGAAACAAAGAATGTACACCTTACAACAATCTAATGCAATACAAAAATGTGATAATAAAACATAACATATCCATCCCACCTCCTGGGCATGTTTATGACCACATGCTGTGGTAATTCAGCAAGGTTTGGAAAGCGTTCTCCCTCCCTGGTGTCAGTGGCAGATCTTGGGGTCTCAAATTTCAGGGGCCAAAAATTTGGCACCCCAGCCTCTTGTGCTCCATTATAAATAAAAGTTGCGGCTTCTCAGAAGCTCTGTGCCCAGTGTCACCAAACCCATTGCACTTCCTTAAATCTGCTTCTGCTGGTATGTTCACCTGACATGCACACTGTAAGGGTTCCAAGCGATTGCTCGAGAGCAAGCAGGCAATTACCTGCCTACTTGGCAGTAAAGCCTTGCTTTAGCTGCTAAAATAAACTTTATCTGTCCAGAGCGCCACTCTCCCGTGGCTGGCTCATCCACTGGAAGAATCCGTGAGTGGGCGGTTCTTAAACTTTCCGCAGCAAAGTAATTTTCCTGACCCCCAGTCTGCGCCTCCCCTCTCGGCACAGAAGCTTACTGCGCAAGGAAGGCATGGGTAACGGAGGACTCCTCTCCTCCCTGCTTTGCCAAGGCAAGGTGTCTTGGCACCGCCTCGCCTCCTCCGAGCCCTGCAACTCCTCTCCACTGGAGGTGTGGTCACTCTCCTCTGTTGAAGAGGAGCTGCTTCCCACGATCCTTGGAGGCTCTCTATAATCCATTCGGCTTTTCCTCTCTCCCTCCTGAACCGATGGCAGTTCCCTGACACACACCCTCAGCCATTTTTCACCTCAATGAGCATGCCAAGTCTAAAGGCACTCCAAGGACCCACCCCTCAAAGGCAGAGTCCATGGAAGGTGAATAAAGAGTGTCCTCAACCCAATAGTGCCTCAGACACTGCAGAAACCTTTTCTTAAATATTCTCACTTACCTGGGCTAAATGCCAATTGCGCCAAATTAAGGAAACACTTCTCCAGTCCCACAGTGTGAATTCAGTGGGGGGAAAAACACCATTGCAGAAAGATCAGGGCAGCTAGATGCCCAGCAAGAAAAAAGATAAATCGCTAATATTGGCTTATGGCCACTCCCCGTACATGGGGCAATGCAGCTAAGAAAGCCTTACTTGAGATGCATAGCAGTCAGCAGGTGAGAGCCACATCTATGAAGCACAAACTGATCAGTAGGTATGTCAACACACTAAACTCCTGTATAAAAATGAGCAGGAACATAAAGTCACAAAAATGGAAACTGCACTAAAGGTCTGTCCAGCTCAGTATTGCTGACTGACTGACACCAGAAAAGAAAATGTTTTCCCTGGCTGACTTCACAATAAATGTGCATCAGTGCACAGCCTCCATGCACAACATCTCACATTTCCAAGGGTTAGGGGGTCAGAGGTACGTTCTTTTAATGAGTAACTAGCTCTTGCTAATAATTAAAAATCACATGGAAAAGAATAAAAACAGGGTTGGAATGTTAGAGATATTTCAGAGACAGGTTTGGCTGGTTCTCCAGCTGACGGCATTCCTTCCTTCCTGACTTTCTTAAGCCTTTTCTTGGATTTCTGGCCTAAAGAAGAGCTCAGTGAAAGATGGAGGTGGTTGGGGCAGGAGCTCTGCTCCTTCTCTACCTGTTCTTCGCTGTACTCTTCTCCTCCTTCAAAATGTACAAGAAGAAAAGCCAGCTACCCCCAGGACCCACTCCCTGGCTCTTGCTGGGAAATCTCGTGCAGAAAGATGTCCTGCCTGTCTACAAGTTCTATACAAAGGTGAGTTTCCCTGTCCATAAATGTCAATAGGATTTTGCCTAGAATAGCAGGACAGAGAGAGGAGGACACAAATTTAATTTCTTCCTTGTCTGGTCTGTGTATATCTGCTTGAGCCTGCTGCTTTGAGAAGCCTTCAGTTAACAGAATGGAGCTTATGATAGGAAAATTCCTATCCTTTTTGTCTTTTCCCATGCTAGAAGGCTCTAGAGAGTATGGGGATCCATATGAACCAACCTGGGCCATGTGATTGTCATCCGAGGCCCTTCTTTTGTGCCTTCTCTGTGAGAACTCCATAGGGTGACAACATGAGAATGGGCCTTCGCTGTGGTGGCTCACCATTTGTGCAATGCTCTATCCAAGGAAGCTCACCTGGGGCTTTCATTACATATCTTGAGGCACCAGGCAAAAACATTCATTGTCACCCAGGCCTTTGCCTAATTAAACCATCTATACCTTTTAAACTTGGGTGGGGGGGATATTGTTTCTGTTGTTATTATGCTATGTATTTCTGTGTTTTTAAATTAATATTAATAATAATAATATGATGATGATATAATCCTCAGAATAAGAGCACTATAGAAATTTAAAAAGTAAAAAATAATGAATGAATGAATAACAGCCATGAATTTTGATGGAGGGTAAAGCTACAGTTGATGGCCATATTGAAGCTTGAGGAAATCTGTCTTGGTGGAACTGAGCGTCTACTACCAACTTTAACTGGTGTCCCAGCTGTGTCTCTATCTTATCAGCTCTTAAAACTGTCCATCATTACATCTAGCAGTCGTGAATTCCAAACTCTGTCTAAGAAGTACAGTCATACCTTGGATGTCGAATGGAATCCTTTCCAGGAGTCCATTCAACTTCCAAAACGTTCGGATATCAAAGTGCGACTTCTGATTGGCTGCAGGAAGCTCCTGCAGCCAATCAGAAGCTGCAGAAGCCCCATCAGACATTCAGCTTCCAAAAATAGTTCGCAAACCGAAACAGTCACTTCTGAGTTTACGGTATTCGGGAGCCAAAACGTTTGAGAATTGAGCTGTTCAAAAACCAAGGTATGACTGTATTTCCTTGTGTTTCTCTTGAATTTCCCACCATAGAGCATCACTGGGTGACTGGCCAGGAAAGAGATGGGAAAGGGAGCAAAGTCTCTCTCTCCGCTTCCTGCACACCATGACACTGTTACACACTTCTGTCTTGTCTCCTCTTACTCAACTTTTTCCTAAAAAAAGAAAGATTGATCCAGATGTTGTGCCCTTTCCACACAGAGGAGCTGCTTGATCATTTTAGTTTTCCTTTTGGGGACTTTCCCCCCACCAGCTCTACAATATCTCCTTTTGACATTAGTCAACCAGAACTGTGCACAGCATTCCAGATTGAATCACACCATAGAGTTGCACAGGAGAAGTTTTTGCAAGCTTTTGTGAATGTTCCCCACTGCCCTAAGATTGCCATGATGCCAGCTGAGAGGTGGGTCAATATATTTTGTGAGAAAAAGCCTGGCAGGCCAAGTTTGGCCCAGGGAACACAGTTTCTCCACCCCTGCCCTGAGGTATCTGTCCAAAGGAAGCATTGACCAACGAACCTTGCTTGTCTTTGATTCTACTTTCAGCTCATTGATAAATAT